TCTTTTAAACCCTACGATTTTTTCTAAATCTGTTTTTTAAACAAATATAAACAAATTCAAAACAACGTATGTAAAAATCTACAGCTCTCTATGTAAGCGCTTTATATGAAAACTAGCTAATGGCCAAACGTTCGCGCAGCGGAAACTTGAATTTCTCCGAAGTTTATGCATGCACTAGTTTTATTCATACATACACAATTACACACAAATACACACTAATTTTTGGATACATCTCTTTTCTTCTAAAGTCTATGGATTAAAAAAAGTTCCGCCAGGACAACGTTCGCCCAGCGGAATCAGTTTTTGGTGAATTTCTCCACAATGGTTGCGTGCACAAACTTTTTTTTTACCATACACAATTATACGACGTCATACACTAAATATCTGCATAATTAAAATCTTTAAATTCAACAACATTCCGCTGCACGAACGCACGCAAATTGAATTACAAAATACAAATATGCTACATCGATATAAACTTTTGCATCAATAAAATTGTATATTTTGTTAAAAATAAATATAGATATCGTTTGTTTATCATTTGCAAAAAATTAAATACATTATTTAATACATACTTTGTTATTATAGTAAATCAAACTTATTTGAGGCTCAGGTAAAAATTAAGCAATTGTTTTTCATACTCAATTGCTGTGAGTATATTTAATTATTTAAACATGCACGTACTGGCTCACAGCAAGGTAATAATATCTACAAGTATTCCAACTTCATAGAAACGGCCGAAACGCGAACTATACCTACGCGCCCGATGTCCGGGGCGCCCTCGGGACGAAAACAGACGCGGCTGTACCGCAGTGACGAAAGGACGGTGTGTTGTCTTTTATTTAGAAATCAGCTCGAGTACATTATTTAATATGACGAATAGGAAATACTGTGCTGTGATTGGTTGCATGAATTCGTCAATAACGCATCCAGACATAAGTTTTTTTTAAATTACCTGGAAACTCTGAAAGGTAAGACTATAAAATAATTATACTTACTAGTAGCCTAGGTAGGTACATAATGTGTGTCTTTATTATGGATCATTATTTCCTTTTATGTCACGAAAACAGGTGTTTGAATTTATAAATAAAATGAATAAAGTCATTGAGACGAGTGAAATAGGTCGTTATAGGCGGTTCTGGTTCTGAATGAATCATGATATTGATACGGTAGGTACCTACCTACTTACGCTTGTGTTAAAACAGTTCATGTATGTTTTGTTAGTTTGTATAATTCAAAGTAGAGAGTGTGGTATTTTATTATTAATAATATTTGTTTATTATCTGTGTTTATGAATAGTACTAGAAAAAATAAATTTGACAGTCTCTGTGTCATTAGATAGTTTTCGAAATTTTCATAAAGAGTTTTTTGCTGCTGCTTTAACAACATAATACCAATAAAAACTGTTTTTTTTTCTCGGTTTTAATAACAACAATAACAGCTAGACTCATGTACTATTTTGATGTTTGAGGGTTGTGATTTTAGAACATTCGTAGTCAGCTGTTCAGTTCGGCATTGGTGGCCAAAGAAATTTTGTTTTGAGTCGTTGCGAGTTGTAGGTAGGTACCTAATTTATAGAAACGTTAATTAGCTGTAGCTGTATTAATTTTAGATTTTTTTATTTATTTTTCTCGAGATAAGGTCGGACAACCAGGTACTGTCCTTCTTTAATTAAATCTACCAATAAAAAAACACGCATTTTTATTGAACACTTCCTATTCAATAGGTAAGTATTTATTTTTAAAGCGCTTATTTTTTATATAAAAAAAGGATATTTACAATCACAAAACTAAATGGAAACAGAAACTAGACAAAGGTAATTAAAATACTGGAGACGAGCAACCCTAACGCATGTTTACGTACCGCGCGGCTGTAGGTATTTATTTCTTTCAAGCGGCCGAGTTACAATACTGTATGATATTTTTACTGTGCTCACAGTGAGCACCAAAGCCAGTAAGCTAATTCATTAAAAGTTTAAAGCACATCAATTATTAAAATAAGAAAAAAAAAATAAAAAAAATAAGCTCAACGACTGTCGGATCAGGTACGGGTCATCCAGCGTAATCGTATGCTGGACGATACTGTACTTGATCGCCTCCGAACGGAAATGGGTAGTCGTGCCAGTGCCTCCTCGTCGCGGACCGTGGCGCCAGCGATGGTGCCACCGTCGAATCACGGTATTGTTGGTACCGCCGCTGATGAGGAAAGCACTGACACAGTTGCATACGTAAGTACCCAGTGCAGTAACGAAATGAGGAGTGCTTTGGAGTGTGCGATTCGGGAATATCGCTACATGTCACCCGAACTTAGACCACGCTTACCTCGTTTGCCCATGCATAACAAGAATAAAGCGCTGGTGGCTGCTCTGGATTCGCAGTTGTCTAATCATTTTGATGACTGCGAAGACCTCGATGATACACACCCGATGATGTACTGCGCGGCCGTAGCGGCATGTCGTGTGGCTCACGTCAAACTACCAACAAGTGACGTAGCCACACAACCAAAACTAGCTGTACCGGCCTGGCAGCGCAGGATCGAGCTTCGTATTGCCGGGGCCAGAGCACTCATTGGCAAATTAAAGTGCTTCAGGGAGGGTAATACTCGCCCTATAGTGATGCGCTTTGTGGACAGACATCAGCCCCCAAGATTATATGTCCCGGGTCATAGAGCGCATCGACTTCCTGAAGCAGAAGGTGTATGCATGGGCAAACCCTATTCGAAGGTACAAGAGACGGGTGGAACGATACACCCAGAATCGCACTTTCCGGAGTAATGAAAGGTGGGTTTATAGAGCTTGGGAGCGACCGGACCAAGGTGTGACTGACACGCTCCTCCCGGATAATGACGTCATGTGTTCATTCTAGCGCAGCATCTGGTCGGTGCCTGTCAGTCACACTGAGGGTGACTGGATTCGGGAGGTCGAACGCGCGTGTGATCCAATACCGCAAATGGGGGCAATTAACATCAGCCCCCAAGATGTTGCTCGTGCAGTCCGTCCATTGCCTAACTGGAAATCTCCAGGACCGGATGGACTGCACAATTTCTGGATTATGTGGTTCACAAGATCGCATGCACGTTTAGCATCTCAATTCCAGGCTGCCCTAGAAGCAGGGTCGCTGCCCCAGTTTCTAATAAAAGGAGTAACCCACCTGCTCCATAAATCACGTAGTACTACGGAACCTAAAAATTATAGACCGATCGGGTCCCGCGGTACTAAGGAGCTACTCCTCATTGATATGACCATTAGCCAACAGGTTCGACGTTCCCGAAAGGATCTGTGGACATGTTGGATAGATTACAAGAAGGCCTATGACTCTGTCCCTCATACATGGCTCATGAGGATGCTGGAATTTCTGATGATGAGGATTAAGGAGATTTTTCTGCTATGTCTCGACTGCCGAATTTATATAATGAAATTTGTGGAAGGTGTGATACGCTACCAAAATTTAAAAAGGCTGTGATGGGATTGTTGAGTGTCCAAACTTAGTGCTTAATTTGTCTCGATTGTTTTATTGTTATTTTTTTACTTTAATTTTATTGTTCCGCATTATTGTAGTATTTTTTTTTTCCCTTTTTTTTTAAATGTTTTTTCTAGTTTGTAATTGTAATTGTAAGTGTGTAATTGTAAGTGTAATTGTAATTGTAATATACTAACTGTTGTCGTTACGTTACAGAGCATGTTGTGACACTTTAAAATGTTGTGCATTTGATTTTATTATTACTTAAGTTTTAGATGTAAGTTTAAATGTAACAACTACTAGTTGTCCAAATAAATAAATAAATAAATAAATGAATTGTATAAAATTGATACAACACTACGCACCTTCCTGATGTCTTGTATGAGGCAATGGAGTACGGTCCTTCGCTATCCGGGATGTCGACATATCCAAACGAATAGGCGTGCGTTCGTGCAGCGGAATGTTGTTGAATTTAAAGATTTTAATTATGCAGATATTTAGTGTATGACGTCGTATAATTGTGTATGGTAAAAAAAAATTGTGCACGCAACCATTGTGGAGAAATTCACCAAAAACTGATTCCGCTGGGCGAACGTTGTCCTGGCGGAACTTTTTTTAATCCATAGACTTTAGAAGAAAAGAGATGTATCCAAAAATTAGTGTGTAATTGTGTATGTATGAATAAAACTAGTGCATGCATAAACTTCGGAGAAATTCAAGTTTCCGCTACGCGATCGTTTGGCCATTAGCTAGTTTTCATATAAAGCGCTTACATAGAGAGCTGTAGATTTTTACATACGTTGTTTTGAATTTAAACAAATTCAAAACAACGTAAACAAATATAAACATATTTGTTTAAAAAACAGATTTAGAAAAAATCGTAGGGTTTAAAAGATAAAAAAATATAAACGTAAAATACGCTTATTAGGTCTTAGTTCTTAAAGTATGCACTTTGGGGTCTAGATTTTCACGTTGATACAAACCTTGTAAGTTTCTGCAACATGTTGCCAAGTATCAATGATGTTCCGTTAGTAATTAAATAGTTATAGGACAAATTCACCATAAATAGATCACTGTTTACAAAGCAGTCAAATATCACGACGTTCTAAATGAATTGCATGGTAAAATGTATGCCAATAATTAGTGTACCTATTCATTCAACTATTCACATGCAAAATTCCATGTCATTAAATTCAGTAATTAAAGAAAAACAATTATAATACTGACGAAGCATCGAAAACCTACATAACCCGGCCATCAGGATCAGGATTTGGTGTGGACAAATGTGCGGTCATGCATGTCAAACAAGGGGAGATTGTGGAGTCTGTGGGCACTCAACTCACGGATTCCATGAACCTGAAGTCCCTCTCTCCAACCGAAACCTATAAGTATTTGGGTATGTCGGAAGCTTTAGGCATCAATGTCGCTGACATGAAGCAATCGCTGAAGGAGCGTTTCTTTGGTCGCCTGGGGAAGGTATTTAATAGCGGAAACAAGTTGACGCCCTGGATAGGCGGGTCCGAACAATGCTGACTGCATACCGAATGCATCACCCGCGATCGTCGGTGATGAGACTGTATATGCCGCGGAAGTGTACACAACCGCGAGGTATGCAGTCTCAGGGAATATGTCCTTGCTACTGACGTGGGTATGCATCGAGATGTAGTGGAAGTGGACAAGGAGATCACCCCGCTCTCCCTGGCTAGCGAGAAGTGGCGTAAACCGGTCGTACTTGACACCAACGCTCGCAGGGAAGTATGGCAGACCAAGGAGCTTCAAGGACGCTTTTTGCGAGCCCTACATGGGCCGGATGTAGACCAGTTAGCGTCCGTATCCTGGCTGCGTTTCGGAGACCTCTTTGGGGAAACCGAAGGGTTTGTCTGTGCAATTATGGATGAAGTTATCATGACGAATAACTACCGGAGATTTATTGTGAAGGACGGCACGGCTGACATCTGTCGGGCATGTCACCGTCCGGAAGAATAAATTCGTCACATAATCTCTGGTTGTTCTCGTCTAGCTAACGGCGAGTACTTACATAGGCACAACCTTGTAGCTAGGATCATCCATCAGCAGCTTGCTCTGAAGTACTCTCTTGTGGGATCGGAAGTGCCGTACTACAGGTATGAGCCCGACCCAGTTCTTGAAAATGGTCAGATCACCTTGTACTGCGACCGGTCTTTCATCACTGACAGGACTATTGTAGCCAATAAGCCTAATATAGTGGTGGTAAACCGAAACGAGAGGCGTGCAATGATTGTTGACATAGCTGTCCCACATGACGAGAACCTCGTGAAAGCTGAGAAAGATAAGCTAAATCAAGTATATTGACTTGGCACGCCGCGAGGTTGTCGACATGTGGGAAGTGGATTCGGCTATCATTGTGCCGATAGTCGTGTCAGCCAATGGCTTAATAGCTAAGCGCCTCGACCAACACCTTAGGAGGCTCTCGTTAGGTGGCTGGATCAAGGGCTTGATTCAGAAAGTGGTAGTCCTGGACTCGGCTCGTATGTCAGGAGGTTCCTTTCTCTGGAGCCCTGACCGCTAGGTTAGCTAGGTAGCTAGGACCCTGTTCCCCATACCGGTGGGACACTATTTTTTATATTTTTAAATGTTATTTATTATAAAGAAATATTTAAAAATGTAATTTATATGTTTATATGATAAATAAAAAGCAATAATAATACAATACAACAATAATGAATGTCAAATATTTGTAATATATGACACAATACATACGTAATACATTAAAAATAAGGTTAATAAAATTGTTTTTTTTAGGTGTTTGCTTATAGCACATACTCTGCATTATAACTCAATAACAGCAGCCAAAATTATTAATCCATGTTGTGTATTGGACAACATTGTAAACAGGGCAAGGGAACCATGGCTTCCTGATGGTGTGTGTGAATCTAGCAAATCATTGTACAGCAGATCAAAAATAAAAGAGAGTTCTTTTCGCATTGAGCTGAGTTCTACAGTTCCTGATAGTTTTTAGCAATAGTTCTAACGTTCTAGATCTTACCTTGAAAAAAGCCGATTGCCGACATGATCTGCTAACTTCCCGTAGCAGATCATTTGACAGCAAATCAGAAATAAATGCCAGTTCTTGTCGGATGCAGCTTAGTTCTGTTAGAGTTCCTGATAGTTAACAGCAATAGTTCTGACGTTTTCACCTTGAAAAACGCCGATTGACGAACTGATCTGAGAGCTTCCCGTAGCAGATCATACGACAGCAGATTAGAAACAAATTCGTTTTTTTTCGCATGCAGTTGAGATCTGCTAGGTATTCCTGATAGTTTTCAGCAATAGTTCTGACGTTTTTATGGTATATTTATCGGGAGTTCTGATACAAATTCATAAGACTCGAAAGCGTTCCGGCTGGAACGCTTTCGAGTCTTAAGCAATTATTTGGATGGATGAAAGAAGAATTATTCGACTTATAAACAATCTACCATGATCGGCTAGCACTGGAACGTGTGTTCTGAACTCGAATCGAGTTGGAGTTCTGATACAAATTCATAAGACCCGAAAGAGTTCTAAACTTCAGCAACTATTTTTAAGGATGAGAAAGGAATTTTTCAACTTTAAAACATTCTACAATGATCTGCTAGCACTGGCACGTGAGTTCTGAACTCGAATCGAGTTCTATGTTGGGGATCTGATACAAATTCATGTTCAAAGTAAAAAAAAAATATGTATTATGTTAAGTTTCATAAAAGAAGTAATATTTTAATCCAAGCATCCTTGTTTTGGGGAACCGCGCTGAGTAAATATAAAAAATAAATTTCGAAAAAATGAAATAAAATACGCAATGATAAATTCTATGTTTAGTTAGCGGTCTGACTGATGCTTGGATTATAATATTACTGCTTTTAGAAATTTAAAAGGTCAATACATATTATTTTGTTACTTTTTGCAGTAAGTATATTTTTGCGTCGGGAGCTTTTAATTTTTTTTAATCCTGTCATCGGAGAAAGGTAAATGATGCCTAATAATAATAATGCCTATGGTAATTGCCCGTAGGCAATAAATTTAAAATTTCCCTTGAATATAAAAGCTATTTTAATATTTGTAAATACAAAAATATTTATTGTAAAATTAAACTTAATATCTAAGCAACAACGTTAAAAACGTTGTTTTTATTATACTTAACTTTCGTGGGACATTCTAAATTAATTATTATGTTTTCGGTTTACTCAAATAATAATTTGACGAGATATTCGACTAGTTTCAAGCCATGCTAGAGGCCCATATTCATGAGCAGCATTCCGCTACACGCGACTCGGCGACTGTCGCGCTGCTACTGGCTATTCGAGTCTGCGCGCCCAACGTGCCCTCTGCGGCGATTCACGCGCACTTTCTTCTATCCGTGGCGTCGGCAGCGACGGCGCGCGCGACACTGTTGGCACTCTAGACTCGCCCGCCTGCAGCTGCTTTGGTGTTGGGTTCGAATCCAGGGTCGACGCAAAACCAGTGTTACATACCGCGCTAACTGTGTCACACTCCAGACCCGCAACAGTTTAGTCTGACGCAGATTTCAGACTCGGCTTCCAAGCAGGTGGTAATGCCCAGCCACCGTCGTTGTTGAAGTTCGGACGCCGGCTTATTTCGATGGCCTCACGTACTTTCCGCGGTACGTAGTATTTTTCCCTCGCTAGTACTGAGACCTTGTCGAAACGGAGGAAGTTAGCCGTGCCCGTGCTACAACTGATGTATGGGTGTCACGGTTTTTCACACTGCGTATGTGTTCTTTAAGTCTGGTTGTGATGTTGCGGCGAGTTTCCCCGATGTAACTCGAGCCACAGTCGCACGGTATCATGTATACTCCGGGAACTGCCAGCGGATCCTTGTCCTTAGGCGAGCGCAGAACATGTCGTAACTGACCGGGTGGTCGGAAGATCGTCCTGATGCTGTATCTCCGGCGTAACAGGTGTCCGATGGTGTCGGTTACTCCTTTCACATAGGGTAAAAATGTGGAGTCCGTTCCGCACTGCCGGCCGTCTTCTTTTATTTGGCGAGCTCGCCATTCGAGTACATTGACGCCAGTTGTACCCATTATTTTCCAGTACCTGTCTCAGGTGGTCGAATTCCGCGTCAATGAACTGGTGATCACACAGGTTCAGAGCCCGGTTGATTAGCGTCCTGGGAACGGAGGCAAGGTGGGAGGGATGGTGATGCGAGTGGCGTGCGTTCGTGCAGCGGAATGTTGTTGAATTTTAAGATTTTAATTATGCAGATATTTAGTGTATGACGTCGTATAATTGAGTATGGTAAAAAAAAATTTGTGCACGCAACCATTGTGGAGAAATTCACCAAAAACTGATTCCGCTGGGCGAACGTTGTCCTGGCGGAACTTTTTTTAATCCATAGACTTTAGAAGAAAAGAGATGTATCCAAAAATTATTGTGTGTAATTGTGTATGTATGAATAAAACTAGTGCATGCATAAACTTCGGAGATATTCAAGTTTCCGCTACGCGAACGTTTGGCCATTAGCTAGTTTTCATATAAACCGCTTACATAGAGAGCTGTAGATTTTTACATACGTTGTTTTGAATTTGTTTATATTTGTTTAAAAAAAAGATTTAGAAAAAATTGTAGGGTTTAAAAGATAAAAATATAAACGTAAAATACGCTTATTAGGTCTTAGTTCTTAAAGTATGCACTTTGGGGTCTAGATTTTCACGTTTATACAAACCTTGTAAGTGTCTGCAACATGTTGCCAAGTATCAATGATGTTCCGTTAGTAATTAAATAGTTATAGGAGAAATTTACCATGAATAGATCACTGTTTACAAAGCAGTCAAATATCACGACTTTCTAAATGAATTGCATGGTAAAATGTATGCCAATAATTAGTGTATTCATTCAACTATTCACATGCAAAATTTCATGTCATTAAATTCAGTAATTAAAGAAAAACAATTATAATACTGACGAAGCATCGAAAACCTACATAACCCGACCAAGTTCGGATGGCTACAAAAAAGCGGCTGTGCAATATACTTAGGTAACATCCCAAAATTTACAGTATAATACCGGTTTTGATTTGGTACAGGTGATAACACACTTGTTGTTTCGAAATAATTTATAAATTAATTAATTGTATTGTATCTATGTTAAATGTTTACTAACCCAAGTATGTTGTCTTTCTAGCTACTAACAACAAATATACTACCTACCGCAAAGTCAATGTTCGACAGGTCTTAAAACTGCCGTCATAACTCGACACTGGCAGTATAGTCGACAAAATTGGAGACTCAGTCGCCATAAAGAAAAAAAAAAACTATACTTTCTGTTTGGAAAAAAATTTATGATTGAAAATGATGAGAACAAACTCTCATCACGTTGATGGTGAAATTGATTTGCCTATTCTTAAAGCAGTCTTCCATTTTTTCTTATAATGTTGTCTTTTAGGAATAAATGAAAACTTATAAGTATCTCCGTAAGTACTACATTAAGGAGCGCAACAATATTTCGTATATAATTGTGATCTATCCAATGATGTATAAAACTATATAATGTATAAAACTATATAATACGTCATTGGATCTATCTGTATAATCTAACAGAACTTCAACAAATAAACAAACAAAGTGTAATTCTTAGACAGTTTCAAAATTTCTTATAATCTTTGCATCGCCAATAGTATGCCTATCGATTTCATAGTTATAATAAAATTTTACATTATATTCTATGATTGATTTACGCTAACACTATGAGTTAAGCTGAGTTAAGTATATCCGCGAAAAGCTTATAAAAAACCACATTCTTTTGTCTGTGGCCGATGCGCGCGCATATGACTGATTATAATATTTCCCGCCATTAAGACATTTCGCTACTTGTCTCGTTTTCACTTTTAAAGTTTTTTGGTTTTTTTATGTATCATTTTATTTATTCAGACGTGTGTTGAATGAAAAACGTCGTATGATACGCGATCCAGTGTTGGGTATTAATCAATTAATTAGTCAATTATCTTATTAATTGACTAAAAAAGTAATTGCAATTAAATTAATCACAATTCAACTTTTAATTGCACCTTGCAATTAAATTAATTTGATTAACGAGTGTCAATTGTAACTCACAATTAAAATAATTGTAATTAACTTTTTTAGTTGGTTTGTAAAACAATTAAAATATATAACAATTAACTTTATATATCAAAATGAAATTAGTACAGATTTAGGCAAATTAAGTTTAAGCTATAAGTATCGGTCAGTTAACGATTATTATTAGATTGACTAAGTTTATTTTCTACCGGCTTTATATTATACAGGGGTATTTTCAATTGTTATTTTTTTAATTAAAATTAACAAACAATAGATAATTAATGATTTGTTAATTGTTACTAATAAAGTTAACAATTAAATAATTATTCATTGTAATTTTTCACAATAACAATTTATTAATTGATAGTTGTTGCATAGTATAAAGAGAAGGCAGTACGTCTACGTTATCTTCGGCCCAATCTGCGATATAATTGCCTAATGTCTTAGGGTTGTCACTTTTAGCAAAATTTTAATTCAGTGCCTATAAATTGGCAAGGGTCGGGAAGTTGTATTTTTTAGTTTTCAAGGTTTTAAAGGTTTGTGAGGTGTGACTCTTTATGTCGCTAGATGGCACAGGCGGTAACATAGACTAAGAGCTAGTGTTAACATTATTTTCTCATTGTATTTTTTTTTTAGGCGTAATGTAGTATTTTTACACATAAAGGACCATATTTATTTTTAATTAATACAAACGTAAATAATACAAATATAAGTAGGTATTAACTTTAAATAGGTATACATTTATTATAAAATTACAAATTAGCTACAGAAAAATACTTTCGTTAGTTTCCACTATTACGAAACTCTTTGTTATTAAACTTTAATGTGTAATATATTCGCATCCTTATAAATCACTTTTGCAAGTATAATTTCGGAAAGCATACCTAGGCAGGGCGGTGAAAAATGAAAATCTTTTATTTGTTCATAAACAGACGTGCCAATTTTGCAGTTTATGTGATCATTTTTAAATGCTTGTTGAAATACCTGCTCCATTCTCTTAATATTTTCCACAAAGTCCTAGATGCTATATGAATAAATAAAAAAGGGTTCCGTTTTTTCCTTTTGAGGTACGGAACCCTAAAAATGAATAAAGTTATCGAAAATATTATAATTAAAGAAACATTACAACATCATTCAAAAGTAACGCCTACCTCTTAGACTAAAATCGAATTTGTCGTTATGATTCGAACTTTGCTATAAATGTATATCTGATTTACAATCATTAGTCAATAATTTATTTAGAATTACGATTTTATAAATGTAAGTAAGTGAGAAACTAAAGTAACTGAGAAATCGGCATAACCAAACGTAAACAAAGCAATAGCAGCCACGGAGTAAGAACAAAGAGGAGATGTCATAATTAGATTTCCCTAAGAAATACCGCGTGATATTTTGCGGGGTGAGGGGGTATTAGACTCCGCCCATTTTTTATTTGCCATCTGCCGGTCTACCTATAGCAATACTACTCGCTCATTCAATTTACTTCTTTTTGTAGTTATGTAACTATTTCAGAATAGATGTCACTAACGCAACAGGGTCGTACTTAGAATTTACCGGGGAGTTGTTTTAAAAAGTTTTTTGTAAATACATTTACATTTAGGTACATTTTTGTAAATGATTTTCCCCTCACAAAAAAAAAACATGTACCGGTGGCGCAATGCCGTACGTCTGGTGGTCCGATGATGGAACGGGCTAGGCGGAAAAATATTCGGTAAAATGCGGTCATTTTACCGAATATTTTTCCGCCTAGCCCTATCTACGGATAAGCCTATTTACGGATCGGTATCCGTCGGTATTGTCGATTGGTATTTTGCCATCACCAATCCAAACTAATATTATAAATGCGAAAGTACCTCTGTCTGTCTTTTCTTCACGCCTAAACTACTGAACCTATTTGAATGAAATTTGGTACAGACATAGTTTGAAACTCGAGAAAGGACATAGGATAGTTTTTAAACCCAAAATCTACAGGAGTCACTATTCCACGCGAACAAAGTCGCGGGCAAAAGCTAGTTTCTTATAATTGTTTTGAAAACTCATGGGCAGTTGCATCATTACGTAGCTGAATACGCATTATTACTAAAGTTCAGTGTCCATTTTCGTATATATCTCCAAATAACTGATGACTTCAAACAGGTTTTTCATCAGCAGGAGTTGATCTAGGAATGACAGGCAATGTTTGACGAAAGACCCCTTTTTTTTTTGTGAGGGGAAAATCATCAAATGACTTCTCCCGCCCAGGGCCGGGCAGGAGGGAGTGTCAGACTCTTACTGACTAAAAACCCCCCTGTTCCTTCTCCTGCTCTGTGCCGAGGTCGCGGTACCTCATTGCGCTTACCCCGCAACCCCGGCTGAACATCAGCCCTTTAGGGCCCCGTCTGTGGTGGTCTATTGGCTCTTTGAGGCGCGCGCGCAACGCTACGCGCCGTACGCTCGGGCCTAAGAAACGAAAGACCCCTGACAGCAATATCAGAGCACCACGAAAAACCTGTTGAGTACCGCGTAAATTTAGCATGGTTCGATTAAATGCTTCTATTGATTTTTTATTCGCCATTGTATGAGTGTATCCCATAAAATAATTGACGTTAGTTGCAAAACTTTTGCCATAGCAGAATTTCTCGAAATATTACAAGTTGCACCCTGTACATTCAATAGCAATGCTAATGAAGAGTGTGCGGTCTTACCACCTTCTAATAATGTAACAACAATCGTCCTAATTTGCATTACGTGTTGAACACGTAGAGGTAAAACCGGCGAACAGTGTTCGCCGGTTTTACCTCAACAATATTTTGGATCATAAAAACACAAAACAATCACTCAACAATATTTTGGAACAATAACGAACATTACATCTAATTAACTAGTGGTATGTTAAATGCTATTCCAAAGTTAATAATACCGCCAGATTCTTCATCATGATTCATGATCAAATCAGATTCATGTCATAGGTCTATTTACCATGAAAAACGAACAAAACCTGCCCTAATGTGACGACATATTTCGAAATA